AACATAATAAATATATCTGTGATTTTGTTAATTATTTTGTATTCTAATAATTTGTATTAAATAAAAATAAAAGTTATTTAACATTACATAAGGAAATAAAACTCAATTAAAAGCTAATAATAGTTGTTTGTATAAAAATTAACATGTTGATATTAAAACATAAGAACATAAACATAAAAATAAATATAAGATTTATTAATTTAAATTTTAAAATATGATTCATTCTTTAAGATTGCAATCAAATTTTAAATTCAATGAAATAACGGATAACTGTATTAATTGGCAACTGATTAACATATAGTTATGCAACGAATTAAATGAACGGACATTTGATTGATTAAAATATATTTATATGTACATGTATGTAATCCAATGTTTCTCACCTCTATCTCCTGTGTAAAGACTATACAAAATTAAAGTCAATTTATTAAAGCTGTTAATGCCATACATTAGACTATTCTCTCCACACAATCGCTAACGTAATTAGAAAATAATAATTTAATATATTTCAACACAATAATGACTTGAATTCATAAATTACTTCTCAAATTATATAATCAATACAAAGGCTGTGTTAAAGAAAAGCACTGATCTATTAATGAAATATCAATTACTATTTATTATTACAAATATTATTATTAATATATAATTTTATATTATGTTTATTAATTTTATATTATATTATATTATGTTTTGTAAATAAGACTATCATTTATATATTCATATTATAAATAACTTATATTATATTCACACAACCAATTACTTCCTTTCCAACAGTCTATTACTAAACAAATAAACATTAACTGAAAAAACTATTTGCAGAGAAAATATTCATTTTCATTCTTGTAATGAATATTCTCTATCGCTCTCTAAATACTATTCATTTCATTAAATATTACATATTTTTAACGTGTTTTCGCATAAATTCTTTACGACTAACTCCTCCCGGATTCTAGCATTATATTTTTAAAGCACAGCTCTATTATAATAATTATTATAATTTTTACAATAATTAACTCAAATTAAAAGTATCGATTGTGGCCCTCGTTTTGGTATCAAATAAATTATATCAACAAGTTTTATCAAAAAGATGGCCAAAATATGTGGGAAGTGATAATCCCATACATCAAACGGTAGAATACAATTTGACAAATAAAAAATGTGTAATAATTTAGCATTTTATGAAATGGTTGAGCAAATTACCGGTATTGATTTAATTGGTTATTAAAAATGATAAAACTCAATTTGCTTTATATACAAACAATTTATTAAATTCTACCAAAAGTTGTCAAAGAAAATATAAATTACAAAACAATATTCAGGTTTTTATATAAATATTTTCAATTTTAATATCAATAGCAAATAGTAATTACATAAACTTTTAGGACCAGAAAAATGTGAAGTAAAATGAGTAAAATTGATGGGAAAATAATAATAATAAACTAATCTTTGGGTTAATACAGATTTTGGTCATTACAAAAACACTTAAATCTTGGTGTTTAACGAGTTGTAGTCATATTGTAGTTGTGATCGGAAAAAATAAATATAAATTAAGAAAAAATATTTATTCAATAAATTATTGTCGACTTAAGACTTGTTTAAGAGTATTGAGAGAACCGCCGGCGCTATGGAATGCGAACACCGATGTTATGACAGTCACGGCATATATCAATACTACTGACAGCATATATAACTGGCTTTGATTAACAAATGTCTGAAAGTAAACAAATTATTCATAAGTAATGGATTGAATCAAACGAATGGACACAAAATGGCTCACAATTCCGGATACAATGAGATGTGTGGCGAAGACGTAAGCGATTAAAAAGTAGTTCCGATTGTCACACGCCTTGAAGAATATAACGCCCCAAAAGGTGTGCAATAATATAAACGCCAGAGTTGTGAACGAAGAGCACAGGAAGAAGTAATGCGAGTCCCCATTCAGACCGACAGTTCCCGGACCCACACTATCGGCCAATATGTTGGTCAGAGAGAAGGCGCCGGCCATTAGACCGAACCCAAGACCTGACACTAATTTTGTGTCAAATTGAAAGTATGGTTAGAAATCAATTGACAAACAAATTGAATAAAAAACAAACCGAAAGCCAATGTTGTCCTATCGTTAACGGCAAGAGTGCCGGCAGTGGTTCCCACTTCGGACACCTTCGAGAGTCCCGGTTCTGCTCTCCTGTAAAAGACACAAATCAACACTTGATTGGTATAACT